GTACGTGGAATGTGGATATAATTTTTAATTTCAAATTACGTTATATTCTATTATGTATATTTTTTCGAAGAATTTCTATCATTATAATGGTCCTAACTTGTAAGTGCATATAAACCATAACTTATGTACATGTAAAACCTGATTTTTGTTGATACTGAAGAAGAAAATATCCTCATTTTATTTTTCAAGGACCAGAGAAATGTCATGGAGACATAGTTACCTGGGAAAATGCGTAACCTATTCTTGAAGAGGCACTACATCAGTTCGGGAAGCCCTAGAAGGTTTTCGTGTTGATATTGCTTGGTTTAATAGTGTGGTGATTTTAGTTGATAGATAAACTGTTAAAGACTATAATCCTCCTATGAGGACTTGACTTATGGAAATACCATTTTGGTATTTTCAATGCTGCTTTTTCTGAGAACATTTGATAGGTATATTTTTGAGCCGTAAAAATTGATATTTTTTTTTGTTTTTACCTATAACGACCTATTGGTCATTTTTATAGCCCTTGTTGATAGTTTACTTACGTTTACATACATGCACACCATTAAGTACTTTGTGGCTCTTCTCAGATCTACTACACAATTTTGTTCACTTTTGTCACAACTTCTGCATATATCAATCTTGACTCTTGAGGATTGAGAAATAACGAAACAAGAAATGGCAAGTGAGAATGTGTTGTTGGACTTGGGCAAGCTATAGAGCCTTAGGTTTTATTGGTCAATCGTTAAAACTATAGTTAATTGTATTAATCAAGTTCTTAGTATTATTTATCCATCTTTTTACGATTTTCTTATGGTGTGGTGTATTCTCAATTATTTAATTTCATTATATTTAACATATTAAATTTTAATATATGGTATGTTTTATAATTGTACCCGTGCAACGCACGGGTTATGGATTATTTTTACGATTTTCTTATGGTGTGATGTATTCTCAATTATTTAATTTCATTATTCAACATATTAAGTTTTAAATATCTTTTGTTTTATAATGGTACCCGTGCAACACACGGTTTATGGGTACTAGTTTTGAATAGACAAGAAAAATAAAAACTAAACACGATAGAAAAAGAAAAACTGAACACGATAGAAAAACTGCAAAACACTAAAACCCAAGATCTACGCTATCCCTCTCTCTCCCATTTCCTTTTCTTTTTTGCGATCATGCAATTCAAACTCAAAAAAAAAAATTGTCCAAATTTAGTTTAAACGAATTCTTATCGAAGTCCATAACCACCCATTTGATGCCATTTTCCAGCGGAAAAAATATAAATAAACCCACATGTCTGATAACTGATAAAAATACACGATCGAAAAACTGAAAACTAAAAATTCCGTTGTTTCTACGTTAATAAATTCGTACACATTTATTCTCAACCCTGCAAGCAGTCTTGCAAGATCTGTTGATCACTTAAAAGAAAAACTCTTTGCTCCATGGCCAGGCGAAGGGATGCGCCACCACTGTCAAGGACAAGGTATTTTCTTATTTAATCATTTATTTATATTTTTGTATTCTTTTAATGTACAAGTTTTTTTTGTCTAATGAAAAAAAAAAAATGGGTTATTTGCTTGATTTAATTCAAGAATTGGGTTCGTATATTTGTCTGTACATTTTCTGATTCTTTGACACTCATCCGTGTGTTGAATTTCTCATTTTGGGATTTATCCTTTCTTTTATTGACAAAATGTTGAATTACACAGATGCTTTGACAATGAAGCAAATAACATCACTGCACTTGAATCAAAATGTCGTTTCTCATATTTGGAGGTCAAGTTCCCATCATAAATGTGTGATCTTTATGCCTCTATTATTTAGTCATCTTTTTTATTATTCACTTGGAAAAATAGCATAATTTGAGTTTTGGTTTATCTTCCCCTTAATTGATTTGTTGGCATGATTCTTAGTTTATAAATTATGCAAAATTGTGATAAGAAATACACGACAGTAAAAAAAATTAATAAGAAATATATTAAATATCCCAGTATTTTCTTAATATATCAATCTTTGAAATTTCGTAACCGTTTATATTATAGTTTTGCTTAGATTCTATTTTATTGGTTTCTTCAAGTATTTCCTTGATTACTGGCAGCGCCTAACCCATTATTTATTTTTCTTCATCAACTTATCATTTTCTATACCCAGGTAGGCTTAAACATACTTATTCTGTTACACTTCTTTTTACAGTATATGTTTGTTATGAAGAACAACTATTTTGCACCATTTGAGAAAAACTCCTTCCTAATTTCAGCCACCCATTTTTCAATTATGCCCCTGCCACCTCATCAGTGTATATATATATATATATATATATATATATATATATATATATATATATATATATATATATATATTTAGATTTAAAAAAAAATTAATATTTTTTTTAACTTATTTTTTCTCTATCCGGTATATTAATTTACTATAAGATATAAGCATAGTCGATTAAGAATCTCACTACGAAAAATAACAAATCACAACTACAAAAAAATACAAAATCAACTATATTTTACAAAAACAAATATATGCAAACATTATAATTGATTTATACAATTGGAATCAATCAAAAATATTCAAAAATAAAATTAGAGTTGATTAACCTTAATCAACTACCAGAGCATATTCGATTTACTGAATCGACTATTGAACACGTACATAGTCGATTAAGGTTCCAACCTACACGAATTTCTCTACCCGCGCCGTTATCCGCCCGATCCACCAAAAAACCCTAAGTCTACCTCATTATCATCACCACACCGCCGCCACACCACACTTTGTCAACCATAGTGGGAGTTCGATCTCCCAGTCTCTCAGTTTCAAGAACAAGAATCCTCCATTAACAACATTACTGAAGAACTCCATTAAAATATAACAAGTAGAAAAGAGAGGAAAAAAAAACATAGAAGAATCAGAAAATTCATTCTTTGTTCCCAACAAACTGTAATCATGTCAAAATCAACAAAAAATTCTGATAGATCTACTCACACTCATGACATATTTGCAGAAAATAATCCCAAAACAAACTCGGTGTTACTTTTCTCTCTCTTAATTTCTTACGCGACTTACTGTAAAAAAAAATAAAAGGATATTAATGTGTATACGGCTTCAATCCCGTTGATGATATGAGTGACGACAATTTCCATATGTACATAGATGAAGAAGAGGAGGAAAAATGAGGAGAGAGAGAGATTACGGAGAGAGAGAGAGAGAGAGAGAGAGAGAGAGAGAGAGAGAGAGAGAGAGAGAGAGAGAGAGAGAGTACACATGAGAAGAAGAAGAGGAGGAAAAAGGAGGAGAGAGAAAGAAAAAGTGTACGTAGAGAAGAATAAGAGGAGAAGAGAGTGTGTGTATGTAGGATAAATGAAAAGGGGGATTAGGGTTTTAAAAGAGTATATTAGACAATTAAGAATAATTTTGGAATTATGAAAATATCATTTAGGTGGAATATTAGCTAAGAGGATTTTCTTTAATTATTTTTTGGAGGGGGTGTTTCCTTAACTACATTTCCAAAACTGGGGGTTCTTGCTAATTTTCCCGTTATTTAAATGTATTTGTTTAAGAATTACATGACAATTGGAACTTATGTCAAGAAGATTATGACAAGTGAATTTTCAGGGGATTTGATAGGTATTTGTCCTATTGGTGCACTGACCTCAATCCAAGTGCATGCCAGACACTTTTGCAGTGAACTCCAAGTATCAGACCCTCTTTTAATACACTTTTGCAAGTCATTACCTGTGTCTGCGAGTTTATTAGACGAAGTCACATTTCTTATGTTGATTTTTGTTATTGGAGTTGAACTAGGTGATGTAGATTTCTGTGGGATTTAGAAACGTTGCGTCCTTAACGATGTTGCAATATCTTTTTGTTGATGGATATGTTTTATTGATTTGATATACTTTGATTAGTAACTTCTTGCATAATTCAGATGAAGGGCATGTGTTCCTCCGATGGTAATAAAAACAAAGAATCTCTGAAATTTTCTTTAATTATATGTATGTAATTGTGTGTTTGAATTCGTGGATACTATAAACATTGGCGACATGCAGAGAATCACGATGGTGGGGAAGGTGAATCAGATGAAGCTCCGGAAGAAAGGTAAGTAGCCACTAAATGAGTTAGTATTCAAGTGTTTTCGCATAATTTCGTTTTCTCTTTGGAGAAATGACTTTGTTTTTTAATTTGATTTTATTTTCATATCTTAAATCCTCTTATCATATTTTAATTTTATTTTCATATGTTTTGGCAAGAAAAACTGCTTACTGAAAAAAGAAATATAGGTGAGCTAGTATATCCATATCACAACATCATTTTGCATACCATTGCTTCAATCAGGCAATTTGCAGTAGATTTGTAACTATATGTTTCTACTTCCTTGTATATGTACATGTACGTACAATAATAGAATATTTATATGTTGACATTTACCTTCCTTCAATAATATTTTATGTCAGGTTTGCCTAATGAAATGTGGAATACAAGAGTTGGTCCTCTCACTTTGAAGGGTCTCTATGAGGTTTTAAAATAAGTTTTGTTTTGTTCCTTCAATACAATAACAACTTCATACGAAGCAGTTCATGCTTCAAAACATGTTGATGTCAATTCTATAAATTTGTTACTTAAGTTGTTTGTGTATAGAATTTTGCACTTTTTATTGTTTTGTTGCTTCATTATTTGCCAGAATTAGTAACCAACGTTTATACAGGTGATGATTGTTCTTACGTTCGATCTGACAAAATCTTCAAAACAAAATAGTTTTTGTACCAATATAGTATTATGTCGGAGCCTTTGAGTTTTTCTTATCAATTTTATTCTTTTAACTTGAATTAAAATTAGAAAATGAATTATAAATATTCGTTACGATCATTTTTATAAATTGTGGAAAAATAACCTATTTGTTCATTTCATCATTTTCATAACTTAATCTTTTATTCCACTATGAAATTGGAGGTTCTCCTGCATGTGCCTTAATCCATCACTGCCGTATTTTTTGGTGTTTTGTGTTCATGTACAGTATCTTCATTAGTTTATGCTTTTCATTTAGTGCTTTATGTTCTTAGTTGACCAATTTCAACAACTATTGATTTTTTTGATGATATTTTTCACACAGCTATGTTTTCAAATCAGTTTACAACTATTGACATCTCTATTTACAATAAATTGAATCATCCCAAAATTTGTGAAGGTGGAAAAATTCGACAATTTGTGTAAATATTGGTGCCAAAATTTGGAAAACAATGAGGACAAAAAAAAAAAAAAGCCTACCATAGCGAGATTTCATGTTATTTTTTTTCGTGGATCAAGTGAAATACAGTAATAACACTATCTAAATAATTACTTTATTCAATTTTCTAATGCGACCACGTGCAACGAGTCACAGTTCCTAGTAAAGATAAATATAAGGGATTATTTGATATAATAACCCCCTCGTATGCTATTTGCACTTATTATAGGCCCAAAATATATTCCTTTTTTTGAGATAAATCCAAATTATATCATAACATAATTTTTTTTTTTGCGATATTTCTATATTGCCCCTATGTATATATGGACGATATTATTTTTCTATTATTTGACGTGTCCATCTCTCTTCTTGTTTACGCCTCCAATTACCTTCATCGTCTGATAAAATTATTTTCTCTGAAATTAGCGTTTCACATGTCGAACATTATCGAAACCTTCCTTGATCGCCACACGATTTGGATTATCATCGCACTCTACGAATGGGTCTCAACCCGGAATCTCTCGCCGCTGTTGTTAAGGAGTTTCGCAGGGATTCAACACCGCCTTCCTCAGACACAGTTGCACCACCTCCTTGACCAGGTAATGGGTTAATCAATCTTGTTAGTAGTTGATATACGTTTTTAATTATTGTGTAATGAAATTAAGTATGTTTATGGGTGTTGAACCCTTGAATGCCTATTTTGTGGGCTTTTTTTTTGGAAGATCCTTATAAAAATGAGACTAAATATGTGAAGGTGTTTGCTTATATGCGCAAACCAGAAAATTTCCTCTCAATCGCATATCTCGCTGCCGACAAGACCCGTGGAAATCTGTTCAGACGGTCCCCAACATCCCTTCGACGAGTTCGGGTTCACATACTTGAAGACGACCCCTGACATTCCATAGCACTCCAAGGTAATTTTATCATTTTTTGCAGTGTGTTCGACGATTTCTTCCCTCCAACGCACACGCCGCTGCCGGGGCTGTTATGCCGAGATGGCAGCACATTTTTTAGATAGGCCGTGGCATCTCAACAACTATGAGGAAAAATTGCCTCGGCTACAATCGATCGATCGCCGAAATTAGCGGTCGTGTAAGCAGTGCTCCGATTTTACATATTCCATTTCTTTTCAGACAAAATATACCTGCTGCAGGCGCGAGGAATAGAGGAGGGGGTGTCGATGCGCTTACGGTAAATAGTAGTTTTCGACATTAAATAGTGGATTACGTTAGAGGGATGGGGTTGACAACGCGTACAGTGAATAGTGGATTTCAAATTTAGGCAGTGAATAGTGGATTTCAATTTTAGACAGTGAATAGTGGATAGTGGTTTTCGTAAATAGTGATTTTCGAATTCTTACGCGACATTAAATAGTGGATTACGTTAGAGGGACATTGAATAGTGTATTTTAAATTCAGGCAATGAACAATGGATTCTGTTAATTTTTTTTAGATAGTGAATGTTCATAAATTTTGATGTGTACCGTAATAGTGGATTTTAAACTTAGACAGTGAATAGTGAATTACGTTAATTTTACAATGGATTACGACAATTTAACTTATTTTTTTTTTATATTTTTTTTATAATGAATGTCGATAAATTTTGATAAATGTATAGTGGATTTCATTTTTTGGTAAACCTGCTGGAAGTAAAATGATTTTTTTAAAAACTAAAATTATCAATAAGTTTACATGGAATTTTCGTAACACATAATGTTAATTATTTAGTGGTTTTCGATAAACTTATAATGAATTTTCGAATTCGTAATAGATAATGTTAATTATTTAGTGGTTTTCGATAAGCTTATAATGGATTTTCGTAATGAACTACATTAATACATAGTGGTTTTCGATAAGTTTTTAATGAATTTTTGTAATAGAATACATTAATTACATAGTGGTTTTCGTTGATTACATAGTGGTTTTCGGTAGGTTTATAGTGAATTTCAATTTGTTAAAAACTTTATTTTTTAAATCGAAATGTAAAAAAAAAATTTAAAAAAAATCAAAATTGAAAATCAATTTTTAATAACGAAAATATTTTTTTTTTAAGAAAATCAAAATTTTATAATTTTCTTATAAAAAAGCTTACGAATAAAAATAAATTAAAAAAAAACACAATTTAATCAAAATTTTAAAAAACAATTTCTGCAAAAAAAAAGGCATAAATTAAAAATGGAATCAAACAACGTAATTTATTTTAATTGAAACGGTTTAAGATTTTTTGAGAGATTTTGGGGGATTAGGCGGATTTTTAGGGGAGTTGTTTTGGGAAATTAAATTAAACATTAAAATTAAAAAATATACGACAAGGGTAATATAAGTATTTTGCTATGGGAGGGGTTTATCCCAAAAGTAGGATTATTAATTGGACTTATCCCTCTTAGGAAATTAAATAAAGGGGTTATCTCATATAACCCCTAAATATAATATATATTACAAATTCCCCATCATTTGAACTCAATTTTTAATTTCAAACCCTAATTAATTCTAATTTCACCGGTTTTGACCACACAAAATCCCCAATTTCGGCCTTTATTTTTGAATTTTTTTTAACTCTTATTTGTCGTCATTGGCTGGGGGTCAACGTCCCACTTCGGTGTTGACATTTTCTTTTCTTTTCTTTTCTTTAATTTTTGTTACGGCTGCCACATGGACGTCATGCAATGTACGTGACAATTATTATGTCCATGTTAACAAGTAAAGTTGATAGTCGAACCAAAAGTGTCAAAATGTGATAATTTGAGGACTATTCATTTTAGGTGTTATCCATGTGTCTATATATTCTTTTGTTAATGATGACGTTGCCAAAAAAATCCCCATTAAGAATTTTTAAAACTAGAACAAAAAAAAAAAAAGATAATTTTTTCTCATTCCGAATTTTTAGATTTGTAAGAGAATTAGTTTATCTATATAAAATAGGGTCTATTAGATATAACCCCCTTAAACATTCAAATAATAGGGGTAGACCCAAATTTATATTTGCCATTTTGATAACAGCCCAAACTTTTCCTAATTACATAATTACCCTCAATCAAATCCCACAAAACCCGTTACTTTACATTTTGAAATAAAATCAAATCCCTTCCTATTTTCCCGTTAAATCACTATCATCCCAAATCCACTATCGAATAAACTGCAAAACCTCCCAGAACAACTTCCCAGTACGGCCGATTGAAAGGGGAAGACGTCTGCACTGCCGTGAAACGCGATTTTCGTGCACTCCGAGCAAGCTGTCGTAGGTACGTCGTCGCCACTCGCTGAATCGCTATCATCCATCGATTTGTTGATATGTTTTGGCTAAATCGACTATTATGTTTGTGTAATTGCAGATCTGTTATAATCGCATACCGAATTCGAGCACTAAATCAGTGATATTGCAACAATTGATGGGCAGAACATCCACCAGAAGTGATATCGTCGTTGGCCGCCGCCGTCGCCGTCGCCGTCGCCGTCACTGCTCCAATCTAGGGTTACTCAAATCTAGGATTACTCAAATCTAGTGTTTTGATAATTCTTCGGCCCATAGTTGATTAACGAGATGCATAGTCGAATTACATCTGTATTAATATACTATCCCATATCATTTAATAGACTATCCCACTGGTATAATTTTACTATGGATCTCGTTAATCGACTATGGGCCGAAGAATCATCAAAACCCTAGATTTGAGAAGTGACGGCGGCGGATTTGTGTTTTAAAATTAATAGACTATCTCATATCTTTTAATAGACTATCCCATGTATCTAATTCGACAATGGGTTTAGTTAATTGACTATTGGAAAAATAATAATATATATGGAAACTGAATAATATGTTTGTTTGAAATACTAATCAATTAGGGTAATTTTCCTTATTATATGAAAACGATTAAGGTAAATAATAATATATATGAAAAATAATAATATATATGGAAACTGAATAATATGTTTGTTTGAAATACTAATCAATTAGGGTAATTTTCCTTATATCATGTAATAGACTATCTTATTGATCTAATTCGACTATGGATCTCGTTAATCGACTATGGATCCCGTATTATTCAACCACATAGTATATTAATAATTTCAATATAGTACATTGATCTGCTATGATAGTATATTACGGTTATAGTAGTGATATGAATTGTGTTACAAACAATATACCACTGAAATGACAAGAACATTGAGAACAACACCAACGTAAAGTATTCCAACATAACCAATAAATACATAAAACACATCATAACACAATCAAACCAATATGTCGAGTTAAAAAACTCTAGTACATTAATAATCTCATAATAGTATAATAAAATGATAATGGCAGTATCATACGGTATTCATAATAGTATACTATTGTATTACAATGGTTTAAAACTTAACCGAAGTTACCGAGCCATTACATCATAAACACCTCTTTATAGCTACCAATCCACCAAACCTCAACAAAATCCGTACGAAATTCGCCATCGAAAAAACCTAAAATCATGAAACAAAATTAAAAATACAGAATACTAAAAAATGATTAAATAGACTGCAAATACATTTGAATGACAATGCATTAATATCATCAAAAATAAACTTAAAATCCAAAATCCATACGCTAATTTAAAAAAGACTACGAACTATATTTTAATGTACTACCCAGCACACTTAAATCGGCTGTTATAAACAAATAAACCAACTATCGACCGGGATCAGACTCATGAACTCCACGACAGCGGACAGTTATTTCAATTAATGCGTAAACCAACTACGATGTTCATATAAAACAACTCTGGTCCGATATGCGTGAACCATCCTCATCTAACTCTGTCAATCCTCTTCCAAACAAACATCATCCGCCAAAAATAACGATGTATATATGACGGAATAATTTTGTTAAAAAACGTTCTACTTAATAGAATCAAGTATCAACACAACTCTAAAAAATTTCTAACCACCGTAATCGACAATCCTAGACATTGAGCGAAAAATAAAAACGAATAACGCATTCATACCCGGTTAACAACGTCCAACAACGAACGCTCAAATTCGATCCTATTTCAACGACGGTGCAGAAATCTTCAAAGACGATAAAAAACCGCTGGAACGCTGAAGAGAACCTTCGAAAAATATTGTACACGATTTGATATAACGGCCAATGATCTCACGTAATTTTATTCCGTGATTTTAGGCAACGTATCAGCAAATCTCAAATCACGTAGTAAAGGAAATAAATGCCGTTTAAAAATAAAACAGGGGTATTAAAGGAAAATTATATAATATATTTTGCCAAGTTGGCAAAATTGGGTCTATCTCAAAAAGGGGAAAAAAAATTGGATCTACCTCATTAGAAAATATGAACAAGGGGGTTATCCCTAATAAACCCTATAAAATATAAAGTTGAATTCCACCCTTAAGTGCTTGACATTTGGCAATCTCAGTTGATCAATTTCATCCCATGTGGCAAATTGATTGGTGAAAATAAATCATCAAAAAACATGTCATCATTTCCAAAATTAAAGGTAATTAAATATATTTTATTATTTTATTAATATATTTATGTCCTACCATTTATAAAATCTCTAAGTATATCAACTTTCTTAGAAACTATAAATATATTTATTTTTTAATGGCGGCGGTTATATGCAAGCCCATTTTTTTATTAGTTCAAGACCTCCAACATAAAAATATTAATTTACCCTTAATGAAATTTAAAATTAAATAAAAAACACAAAACATTAAAAAAAAATCATTTCCTTTGTGCAAGACCAAATAAAAAAATATAAATCCAGAAACCCACATCCTTATTTCACGACTTTAAAATCTCCTCCTTCTCCTTCTTCTTCACAAACCCACTAAGAAATCCTACACACCAAAATCATCAAATACATACCAACCATTCACGATGGAACCAGAAAACAATGATATGGTAGTTTACGAGCGTAGAAAACACAATGAAGTATTTTTAACCGTTTATTTTTGCTTTTGGGTCGTTTTTTTTTTTGTTGGAAAAAAAATTCGACGATACCAAAAATCGGTCTGCAAATACCGATTTTTGTTACTAAAGTTGGTAACCACATTCCGATTATTTTATTAAAAATCGGTAGTTAAAAACCGATTTTTGTAGTACAAATCGGTATGACAACACCGATTTGTTTTTGTATTATCGGTATTTTCATGCCGACTTGTACTACAAAAATCGGTTTTTAAGTACCGATTTTATTATCTGTGTTTTTTAAGACCATTTTCTCATACTTTCGTGCAGCAACCTATCGGTATCCGAAAATCGATTTTGTACTCAATAATCGACATTAGAACTCCGATTTTGACTTGTAAAGTCGACGTTGTGTCGCCAATTTGGTTAACAAAATTCGGCATTATAACGCCGATTTTCGTGTACAAAATCAGTGTGTGTAAACCGATTTGGGAAACCAACGAAAAAAAAAAAACCAATTTCAATCTCAATTTTTTTTTTCAAAATCGGCCAAAGCATTGCAACCCAACAAGAATTAAG